AATAATTAAATTTGTAACCAAAAAAATTATGACTTACATACCAATCTTTAATGCCAAAAATATATATTTTTTATGTACTTAAAAGTTCTGGCAAAAATAAATGTTCATCTTGAATATTTTTATATTTCTCATTAGCCAGCTCCAACTGATATATGACATTAATTAGTTTTATCACTTTCTTTTTACTTATGGATTGAATACGAGCTATATGTTTTTTCATTGTCTAGTCTTACATTTTTATTACGTAGAACATCATTCTTACCCCTTGTTTAGTTACTACAATACTAATAAAATAATTAAAGACTTTTTAACCTAGATGTGTCTTGTTTGCTGCGAAAAAATTACTAATTATCATAAATTAAATAAAAATTACATTGAATGTGTTATATTTTCTATCTTTATCAATAGTTTTTATAATAATTAGTTGCACACAATATTATATATAATGTATTTTTTTACAAATTTAGAACCCTACTTTTACCACAAGAAAAATTGATAAAAAAATTTTGGTCTGATTTTTTTTTTTTTAATGGGGGGCTTAGTTTTGGAAATTAGACAAGTAACAAGGACATGGTTTCAATTTAATATCTTTTATAATAATACACTTTAATATGTGAGCCACTTTTATAATTAAAGTTCAATAAATGCACATTAATGATATATTAAATGCACAACATCGTATGATAAAATGCACATAAAAAAAGTCGTATTTTTACAAAATCGTGAATTCTTATCTACCTGTACAGATAAGGTTCATAAATTACCTAAACGCCACCTCAGTTAGTGTTGTTCGTCGGTTGGTGAATCAATATAATCGAGAATTTCTCTGTTATCCTAATGTGCATTCGTGCAATCACTATTATGCAATCTGATAGTCATTGTACAACAATTCATATAATCATAATGTGCACTCACAATACATAAAATATAATTAAAAATAATAATGTTTTCTCATATAGTTCGATTGGTTTGGTTATTTCATTTAAGAAAAAAAAATCCGATATGAAAATAAAATGACCATTATTTTGAAAATAAAAATAAATAATCAAGCGAAAATATAAGATTTCAAAAAATTCTCTTTTTGGGAGCAGCCGATTTCCGGCGATTATCCCGTGTGGGACCATTCTTATTGTTGAGCTCACCGGCGAGATCTTGTGACTTCGCGGCGATTGTTGAGTGAATTCAGTATATTGATTGTCGGCTCTTGTCGGATTTATTCAGTCTTTTTAGTTCAATGGGGGATCCTGCGAGCGTGGGGCGAGACGAAGAGTTGGCACATCACCTTCAAGGGGTTTCGTTATCGGCCAGAGAAGCGGTAATCACAGACTTGGAGCAGGATGATATCAGACTAAGCGCGGAGGAATGTGGCAGGAGCCTATTTGTGAAGGTCATTGGGGATCGTAGGGCAAGCTGGATTGGGATTAAGCGCACTATGAGTAATATATGGAGGCTTCAGAAACCTATGGAGATTAAGGAACTTGAGCCGAACTTCATCCAGTTTATTTTCAATAATAGAGACGAAATGAAAAAAAGTTGCAGGAGGTACCAATTGGATCTATGAAAATAATATTTGATTCTCAAAGAATGGGAAAAGGGCTTGAACAACAGCCACAAAGGCTTTGATGAACTTCTTTTATGGGTCCAGGTAATTAATCTTCCTCTGGACTGTTTAAGCTCCAAAGTTGGCTTGAAGATTGGCATGGTATTCCCAGAAGTTAAAAATGTGGTGGTTATTAACACGAGCCCTCACGGTGGGAAAATTCTCAAGTTGCTAGTGTCCATTGATCTGAATGAGGCTTTGCCAAGATGTTCAAAAATTAGACTAGGAGATCAAATAGTGACTGTGGGGTTTATATACGAGAGATTAGTTAACTTATGTTTCTACTGTGGAACTATAGGGCATCTTGACAAGAGTTGCTCAAAACGATTAGAAGAAATAAGAAAGCACAAGCTGAAAGAGGGTCACTATGGTGAGTGGCTAAAGGCTCAGGAAATCCCACAATGGCAATACTCTAGTCCCTCAAGCTCCAAGCAATCTCCTATCTATGCTCAAACTCCACAAGCTGACAACTGCTCTCAGCCATCAGGCTCCCAAAAACCATCAGACAGCTAGTGGCACTCTTTCTAAAGTGGTGAGGAATCTGCAGCAGGCTTTTGTCCAAGATACAGTTGCCTCAACATTTGAAGTCTCTGAAGTCTCTCCATCATCTCAATTGGCTATTTCAGAACAGGCTACCTCTCAGCCTAGGCACTCAATGGAAATAGTTGCCACATTGCTTCAAACCTAAGAGGAAGCTCCATATCCATATGTGGCAGACAGGATGATGGAGATTGAAGTATCTCTACCTCCCTTGTCATCCTCAAAAGCAGCTAAACAGAATACTGACATAAATGGAGATGGTTGTTGCCAATGTTAGAACTTGGAGGAGATCGACAAATTCAAGGGGAAGACTTCTGAGACAATCACTTTCAATTATTGAATCTGGCTCTGCTTCAGGATCAAAAAGGGTTAGAGAAAATCACAATGGTCAAGAGGTGGAGAAAGAAATCAAGTTACTGAGTTACCAGCAGGGAAGAAGAACAAGGGGTCAAATGAAGAGGTGGGGGATGCCAGCCTAGAGTGGCACCCAACCCATAAATGTTAGCTGCGGTGTGGAATTGTAGAAGGCTGGGTGGGCGCTCTACAGTTTCCCAAATCAAAGAGTCTTTTAGGACTCACCACCAAAAAAATTTCTTCTTGTCTAAAACCAAAAATAATAGTGCTTTTGCTAAATCTGTAACACCCCGCTATTTTACTGAAATCAGAGTATGCATTTTTCGCAAAATTTCTGAATAATTTAATAAAATATTTATTTGCGAAAGCTGATTCGGGGTGCTACCGTGAAAATCTGACTGAAAAACCGTTAATTTTAAACTGAAAATTAAAACGGTTATATAATATTTTAACCGACTAGTGTCGGACCAAAAAGCTGAGTTTAAGTACTAAAAGTGTTAGCGGAAATATAGCATGGTAAAAACATATTTTATACATAACAAAACAAATGTCCTGAACAGCTCGTCAGCTCACTCCTCGTTCCCGACTCTGTGACCTGAAAAACATAAAATACGTGGGGGAGTGAGCACTAAAACACTTGTGCTCCGCAGAAACTCATACTAAAGTAAAACAGTGAATATAATAACAATATCATGAT